TTAAATCGAAAGCGGGCAAAAACCATTGCGATATTCGGAATCAGCACGTTCGATTACCTATTGTCAACTGAGTTTGAGCTCAAAAGCGAGGAGGCAGTTGGTGGCCTTCCCTCGTGAGTTTGATCAAACGTACAATTCTGAAGAGGCGCTAAAGTGGTATACACGTGATTGTTTTTTATATCGTTTACTGAACGAAGCATGTAGAACGGAAAATATTGATATGATATATACATTTCGTTATTTGATTACTGATCTTTACAGATGCCTGACTGATTTACATACGGATTTTAAGGCTCAACTACAATCTAAAACATCAATGTTAATCGTATATCGAGAGCAACGAATATCTAGAGAAGAATTACAAGAAATCAGAGCGAATATTGGACAACTTTATTCTACAAATACTTTTCTTTCGACAACATTCGATCGTGATATTACAGCAATGTATGCTCCAGATGGACTGACACTGAATACTACGGATTCAGAACATACATGTTTTGAGTCGGTAGTATTCAAGTACATCGTAAATACGAATATCATTACAAAACCATATGCTCTTTTAAAAAATAAAAGCTATTATTTTGATGAAGATGAAGTTCTGTTTTCAATTGGAACGATATTTCGAATTGATTCTGTCGAACAATCATTGTCGAATAACAATCAATGGGATGTAACACTAACGTTGGCTGCCAATGCTGATGACGAGATACAAAAAGAGCTGAATTTTTATATCGACCAAATTCATAGTACGCCAACACTTTTACTGCTGGGCGATTACTTGGCTGACATAGCACACGATTATCCTAAAGCAGAGTATTACTATCGACTGTTCTTAGAAGACCAGTCAATAGACGACGACTATCATAAAATCATGGCTCACATTAAAATCGGACTGATTTATGTTCAAAAAGGCGAGTATGCCACAGCCATCGATACATACGAAACAAGTCTGCGGACGGACAGCCGTTGATAAATCATTAATCGCATCAATACATAAATATATTGCAAATGCATATGTGGCACAGTGTCAGTATTCAAATGCAATCAAAAGTCTAAACACTGCAATTGAGTGGAAAGCTGATGACCCAGAATTATATAATACACTTGGTAAGGTATCCGCGAACGATGCAAATTGGTTACTAGCTTTAAAACATTATGAAAAAGCTTTTACATTATTAGTCAAGGAGGAATATGTTCATAATATTAAATTTGCAACTGCGCATTGCAAAAAAAAACAACCTGTCTCCTTCATCAAACGAATTTGGTACATTTTACAGCCGTTTTGCTTATATTCATATTCATCTTTGACATACTGGCCCAATGCTTTCTTGTGTCTTCTTTCATGAAAATAAACAAGTAATGCTTACGTGTAGTTCACGTGATCCCGGTGAATTCAAGCAAAACTCGTGCTAAAAAGAATAAAAAAAAGGCGAATTCTCACTTCAGAAATCCTGAGTTCAAAATCCCGTCGAGTAACGCCGGGCTTGATTTTGAAAGGACTGAATCTCTCGAAAAGAAATCAGTTCTTTTGTCAAATACACGCTTAACTAAAACTTGTACTGATTTATCAGCAGCCATGACGCAGTATCTAGAAAACCAGAGGATAGAGCAGTTTTGTACTATATTTTCAAATTATATAACGCAGCCTGCTAAAGTACATCGCTTTTTACTGTGGAAACATGTCTCTCTCAAGATAACTCTCTCAAAATTTTTGGAAACAGCCAGCAATAACGTAACATGTCTATAGTTAGAACAAACCTGTGGATCATGGGTTTAAAATAGAGGCACCACATGACGTATTTTCCAACTAGCAGAAAACTCTTTAGTTGCCAAAGACTCATTAAAGACTTTGTCGGAGGGGTAGCAGCTGTATTTCTACACCTTTCTTTGATGAAGAGTGGGGCTTCAGCCAGATATAACGAAGAAAAAGAAACAAGAGTTTAGTGAGCGAAGGGCTACAATCGAAAGGACACAAAAGACTGCGCTAACGAGGGACCTGCCGAGGTGAGGAATCGTTTTATCTAGTGGATTATAGGTTATTGACAATACTGATCCCGAATAGGACCATGGGGGTTGCCCATAGCCGTTTGAAGATCCGATCTTTTGGAAAACCAGTTTTTCAGAAACTCTAGAAAATAATCAAAACCTTTCTTAACAATGCAAGATTGCAACCCGCAAAGTTCTGATTAAAGTGAGACATTCCCCAGCTCTACACGACCGTTCTTTCCAAAGTTATAGAATTTACAAGAAAAGCCTTAAATTAATTTTTCTTGTTTCGGTAGCTTTAAGCTGAGAACGAACATTATCAGGTTGAATAGTTTGATACTTGTAATATCCGCGATAATTTAGACAACGTTTTAGTTTTCATCGAACGAAAGCTGCTTTACTAGGATGTCGAGGAAGAACATTCGCTGTATGAACTTCAGAAGGAACACAAATCACGGGACCTTTACATCCTTTTTGTCCGTCTTTTGGTAAAGGTACCATTTCCATAAATGGTAGTCATACGGCTATGAGATGCCTTTCTAAATCATTTAAGACCTTTTTTTCATGTGGTAGATCTCCGCTTACTAAATTAATGTTCATAGCACGGGGCGGCATGGCTTCTTTTCTTAACTTACGATCACAATCCCTACAGCTCCATTCTTTATTTTCTATACTGTCGTACGCATCTTTGTTTATATATTTTCATGTGAAACACTCAGCTATACTTTCTAAACTCTGCCCTATTGCTTTCTCTAAATAAGTTTTTCTTTCGCATGTACGTACAAGCATACAACTGTAACACACAGTGCAGATATATTCAAGCATCTCTCTGCAAGAATCCCGAAATATATGTTCAGACTGAAAAAATGACAATTTTATAGATCTATTTCGCGTTTGTTGGATGTACTTTTCTCGAATTTGTTTAGCTAACAGTGCATAAAAACGGGTTTGTTTATTTTTGGTTACCCAGGTCCAAAAAAACCGCTCGTTAAAGACCAGTTAAGGTCCAGTAAACTGTCACACAAAAAACAACGTTCTCAAAACGGTAAAAAAACGGCTAATGAACAAGCCGTTAACTTGCCGTTTTTAGCATGGCCGTTTCAAGGTCCAAAAATCATCTGAAAACGTCTACGGTCAGTTAACGGTCACCGTTTACGGACCGTTTGCTGAACGTTTCTAGACTATTTATTATTCACACAGAAATTCTCCGTTAACTGACCATAAACGACCAGTTAACGGACCGTTTTTAGGCCGTTATTTAGTACTTTATGCTAGAGTGATTTATCATGTACTGACATCTCGAGATTATGGAATTAACTTGTCTTACGATCTGAAGATGGAAATAATGGGCTTCACAAATAATAATATTAAGAACTATATAGAGCGATTTTTTAACTCGATTGAAGACAAATTAGAGCACGCATTTGCTCAAAAAGAAAAGTTTTTGATGTTCTTGATCCGAAACTCGAATATTTCTGGTGCAGCCCAGATCCCAATAAATTTAGAATTGATGTGCAGCCTTTGAAGCGACAACGATTGGTCAGATACAGCAGCTCTCACGATGACTATACTGTATGATCATGTAATAGCGAGACTTTTCAAATGGCATTTAATAAAACAAGATGAGAAAAATAATGATCTTGTAAATGACGAAATTTATGAAAAATGCAAACATGAGTTAAGATCTTAGAAATACTGGCTTACCATGGAATGAAAAACGGAAACAGATCTCTGAAACCTGAATTGTTACGAAGAGCAGAGACAGAGAGCCAGTGGTCTTTGTTAGAACACAAGGAACTACTGAATATTGATATACTGAAACCGTTAAACAATAAGCCGATAGGCAGCGATAATGACCGAGAAAAAAACTATTCCTTCCTTCATCGTAGCTTTCAGGAATATTTTGCAGCAAGCTATTTGGTTAAGGCTCTCAACGGGAATGCACAGCATGAAATGGTTAGTTTTATCCGACATCAAAAATACAATCGACGGTTTGAATCAATGTTAAGCTTTGCATCTGGGCTTATAACAAAAACCAACGACATGAACAGTGCCAATAAATTCTGGGATGCAATTTTTGAAGAGCCCTTAGATCAAGTTGGTGTGAGACACTTGCAGCTTGTCGTTTCCTGTATGGAAGAAAGAGGTGAATACAAGGATTCTGAATGTTTTAACGAATTAATAAACCACATAATAAGCATCATAGTATGCGCTACGTTTAAAACGCTTGAAATTGTACTCACTCATATAATGGATACATTACGCAAGAGTCCCTTCATTGTCAATGAAAAAAAACTAATCCAAACCTTCACCAATCTTCTTCGTACTGGCGAACCTCAAAAACAACAGTATGTTATCTTCCTGATAACAGAATTACCAAATTTCAAGCTACCCAGAGATTTAAAAGACTTACTACTGGAAGCAACATTGCAAGGTGAAGACTATGGTATCAAACGAGAGGCGTCTGCGGCACTCCGTAAGATTAATGAAATAGAACCGATGGATGACATAATTCAAGCGCTAGTGATCACAACAAAGGGTATGATGCCTGATGCCGCAGCGACGGCATATGATACGCTATGTCAGATATACGAGAGGGCACCAGGGAATGTCCTCAAAATATTGACAAACATGCTCAGAGATAGAAATGCGGCCATCCGGCAAGGAGCACAGAGACCCCTCATTAAGATAAGTGAAGCAGCAGCATCAGATGATATGATCAGCAAACTAATGCAGGTTATGGAAGATCCGAATCCTGATATCCGAATGACAGTCTGTGACACTCTCATTCAGGTCAGTAATAACGCTTCTACGAATAGAACGACTGAAGCGTTAGTGAGTGCGCTAAAAAATACCAATGATGATATCAAAATCATGGCATGTGCAGCTCTTGGTAACATGAGTGAAAAGGCAATACGAGATGATGTGATCACAGCGTTGATCAAAACTTTAGCTAATCCGAATCGTAAAGTAATACGAACAGCATGTGAAACTCTCGGTAAGATCGGTGACAAAGCAATACGCGATGATGTGATCACAGCATTGACCAAAGTTTTGACTGATCCAAATCCTGAATTAATGCAGAAGGCATGTGAAACTCTCATTAAGATGGGTGAAAAAGCCGCGCGGCTTAATGTGATCCAAGCACTTGTGACTGCAATGTCAAACACCGATCCTAATGTCAAAGCTATGGCATTTGAAACTCTCGGTAAGATCGGTCAAAAAGAAGCAAGTGAAGATGTAATCAGAGCATTGGCTCAGGCCATGAAAGATCCGGTTTTTGGTGTGAGATGGGCAGCATCCACAGCTCTTGGTAAGATCAGTGAAACATCAGCAACGAATAACGTCATCAGACCACTTGTGTATGCGCTAGGAAACACTGACTCTAATGTCGCAGCTACAGCGTACGAAGCTCTCATTAAGATGGGTGAAAAACCAATCCGAGATGCTGTATTCGAAGAATTAATAAATGCGCTAAGAGATAGAGATGAGAACGTTCAACGAGGAGCAAAGCTAGCTCTTATTAAGATAAGTGAAGTAGCAGCACCAGATGATATGATCAGCAAACTGATGCAGGTTATGGAAGATCCGAATCCTGATATCCGAATGACAGTCTGTGACACTCTCATTCTGGTCAGTAATAACGCTTCTACGAATAGAACGACTGAAGCGTTAGTGAGTGCGCTAAAAAATACCAGTGATGATATCAAAATCAAAGGTGAAAAAGCGGCACGGTCTGATGTGATCCAAGGGCTTCTGAATGTATTGCCAACCATCGATGTTGATGTCAAGTGTATGGTATGGAAAATTGTTAGTGAGATGGGTGAAAGGGCAGTACAAGATGATGTGATCAAAGCGCTAATCGAGGCTTTGGCTGATCCGAATTATAAATTAATACAGGCAGCATGTGAAGCTCTCACTAAGTTGGGTAAAGGAGCAGCATGGCATAATGTGATTGAAGCACTGATATATGCGCTGGGAAATGCGAATTATTATGTTCGAGGGACAGCATGTAGAACATTAGGTGTGATTGGCGAAAAAGGAATAACGGATGATATGTTCCAAACTCTAGTAGCTGCAATGTAGCGTGGGAATAATCTTGTCCAAGGTATGATATGTAGAGTTTTCGGTCTGATCGGTGAAAAAGCAGCGAAAGACTTCATAATCGAACTGTTGGCGACGACCCTGGAAGAGGATGATCTTTTCATGAAACTTGAGGCGTGTGTAGCAGTTGGTAAGATGGGTAAAGAAGCAGCAACAGAATCCGTTATCAAAGCTCTAGTAGCGGCAGTAGGTCATGAAAATTACAACGTCAATCGTGAGGCGTGTATAGCACTCGGTCGAATCGCTGAAAATCAGACAATTATGGACGTTATCAACGCACTTAATATGGCACTGGAAAGTCTGGATGATAATGTCCAACGGGAAGCATGTATTGCTCTTGGCAGAATAGGTGAAGCAGCAGCAAGGAAGAATGTGATCGAGGCACTTACGAAGACATTAAGAAGTCAGAACGATGATGTCAGACGAGAAGCATGTGTAGCTCTCGGTAAACTTGATGGGAATGGAGTAAGAGATGACGTGGTGAAAGCGCTGACCTTTGCACTGAGGGATGTGATCGACGATGTCAGTGCTATGGCGTGCAAAGCTCTCAATAAGATGGGCGAAAAAGTGATAAGCGATCTGATCCAAGAACTTATGCTGGCGGCTGAAAATCTAAATCATAATGTCCAGAGAGAGGCATGTATAGCCCTCGGCAGGATAGGTGAAAGAGCAGCAAAAAGAGAGGTGGTGGAGACACTTATAAGAGCATCGAAAAGTTCGAATGATGATGTCAAACGAGAAGCATGTATAGCTCTCACTAAGCTCGATGACGAAGCAACAAGAGAGAACGTGATCTGGGCGTTAATAGCGATAGTAGCAGATTCGAATGGTAGTGTTCTGTGCGAAGTACGTATAGCTCTCCGTGATATTTGTGAAAAGACAGCAGTGAATAACGTCATCAGAGGAAAATTGGCGGAAATAGGAGACAAGAATGATGATGTTAGACGAGAAGCATGTATAGCTCTCGGTAAGCTGTCTGGAGAGAGACTAATGAGTAATGTGATCGGTGGGTTGATAGTGGCGCTAGAAGACGAAAATGATGGTGTGAAAGCTGCTGCATGTGAAGCTCTTGGGATAATGGGTGAAAAAGCGGGAAGAGATAACGCTATTAGAGTCCTCATGCACGTTATTTGGATCAATCCTGTTGTTAGGGACGTAGCATGTGAAGGTCTCGTTAAAATTGGTCAAAACACAGCAGTAGCTGCTGTTATTAAAGGATTATTATGTCTTAAGGATTCGGAGTTGGTTGCCAAACTACTGCGAAAGATTCTGATTTCCTCACCATCATTATCTCATATAGATTCGAACACACTGTCAAAATTATTTGAATTTTCCAATGACTACCATGATTGGTGGCGTTTTCGGGATATACCTTTGGAGAAAATGATTATAGCATACAGAGATACCAAAATAGTGGGATGGTGTTCTATTATTGTGCTGTATTCGCAGATCACGGGTCGTGCTGTTACAATTATGGAGCAGAAAATTATTATTTACGGGAACGATATGAAAACTACGGTTTCTATGCCAACTTGTGAACTTTGCGATGACTTGCTTCGCACTTTCAGCAATCATAGAACTTCCTTTTTCGCCTACGACAAAATAGCAAGTGACGGCATTGGTGAGACATTGGTGAAATCGCGTATCTGCACTGTAATGTGATGTTCAAGTTTCATAATTTGTTTGGGTCGGCTGACACTATCTTTTGTTTTTATAGCTTTTACTCACTCTCACCATGTTGCGCATTGATAAAATGAAATAATAATAAGTGATACGATACAGTAATGTTTCGCTCTGATAGTGCACGCTCAACTCAATCCTGAAGGGAGGGAAGGATTATCTCAAATAACAGTCTCCAGATGTTGAAGGATAAATCTCTGCAGTAACTCAGACCTATTTTGCAACATGCGGTTTTTTCTTCGCGATAAAATGATAAAGAAGTGATGTTGCGAACAAAAGTCGTTCAAGATGTGTTCATTTAAATGGGAAAAAAATTTAACAATCTTGTACGAGAAATAAATTTATAGCAAGATGAAAAAAGCACTTTCAGGGTAATCCTATTTATCCCACTTGAACGTAGGATTCTAAGATATCCTTAGTCCAAATAGGACAGATCGGATCAGTACGTTACTCTAGCTGGAGTAAGGCGCGTAGGCATTGGGAAAGTCGTCCCACCCTCCGTCCCCAACACGAAAACTAAGATTGAAGCAGGAGCAGTTTTAATTTTTATCAGGATTGCATGGAAATTAGGGACCTATATCACTATGGCAATCGACTTCGACAGCAGCGTAATCAACGCGAGCAAGATTTGACTACGGTGCTGTCGAGATCAGTTGCCGTGGTGACTCAGGCCTCTAATAGAAATCGGGATCGATTAATGTTGCAACTAAACCTGACCATCGCTTTTCAACAAGATTTCTATGGCTGATGAACATTTTTAACCATTTTTTTCTGTATTCTGACTGAGACTTTGAGTGACACATATTTTTATCGATTCTCTAAGAGAGAACATACAACTCATCTATTATAAATATTGAACACAGCATATTGTTTTCTCAACAAATAATAGGTTTCAAATACTTGATTTTGATTTATAGGTCCACACTCGACCATTCTACGAAGGATAATTAAACACATTCTTTGAATAAAGTTGAAATATTTCTGCTCTTTACGTCGTTGATTATCGAAAATATGAAGTGACACGATATCGAATTGGTGTCACTGAAGGAACAGCGATTGCAGGTAGAAATCGAAGTGAACATCGTCCAATACTTAAAAGCCAAATTTTTTTTAAAAGAATCGCTGCGAAAGTCTGTACAAAACGGTGTATTTTCATCATGAGAGACATGCTTTATCTGACTTGAAAATGGAATACAAACATTTCATGAAATTATTCACATTTTCTAATCTATCTTCTCCTTCCATTTTCTTAATATCGCTTTTCGTGACACGCCATTCTGCGAACTTTTTCCGCGACCGACTCTTCTACGAACCGATCCTTCCGCGAAAATCTGTCTTTTAAAAAAGATCAATTAACTGAGCTTTGCATGTAATTAAGAAGCGAAATGTGAGCAACAATAAAGATATAATAGGATCAGAAAAGATTAAAAATGAATCGTGTCTCTGATGTGTTTATCGCCTGTACGTAAGGTTCAGGCAAGAAAAGTTTAAGAATGTATAATGATTTTTTATTGTAGTATGTAGTCAAGAAAAACACTAGTGAATACTATCATGATTTTAAATAAACAGATCAACAAAGCAACTAGAATGGAATAAAAGCAATTCCACCAGAAAAACTACTTCTATGTATACCGGGGAGGAGAAGAGGCAATGTGACAGTGAGTTTGAAAAGTAATTTCATGAGCTAAAAGAACTGAAAAACTGGTCAATTCGCGGAAGACTCAAGGTACTGTTCGCGGAAGGGTCGGTTTGAGGAAGAGTCGTTCGTGGAATAGTTGAGTGACCATCACTTTTATTTTCGTCAAATTCTTCGCCTGAATCAATTTATTCAATAAACAATGATCTAATGCATTATGGTCTACCAAATGAATTGGTTTAACTGATGGATTGAACCAAAATTTGATTACCACCAACATTTATTGAAGAGTCAAAAGTTATTGTCAAGAACCTGGAAAAAGATCTTTTAGAAAGTGTGGATGATTTTATAAAACGTTTGTATTCCATTTTCAAGTCGGATAAAGCGTGTCTCATGAAGGAAAATAGACCGTTTTGTACAGAATTTCACGGCAATTCTTTTAAAAGAAACTTTTAAGCATTATTAGAACACAAGTTATAGTCAAAATACTGACACCGTCATTTAATCTGGCCCACCCGGTATGTACATGTGAGAAGAAAATCAGATCAAAAGTGTTCAGGGATTAAATTGGATTAAAGCTTGATCAATAGACGAGCATTAATTATTGTTTAAAAAATGAAAAAAGATAAAATTTTCGAGAAAAGAAAACGCGCGATATTAAGGACCCCGCCGTTTTTAAACGGCGGGGTATATTTTAATATTATAACTTGACTTCAGTTGTATACAGCACTATGCAAATAGAAACACTTTATTCGGTTTGTCACTCTAGATATTTAAAAACCTGAACTGTTTAGATAGAAGTTTACACATCAATATATTAGGAACGATTAGATATAGAGATATAATACATCAAAAAATCTGTATAATGCAAACTACCTATCCTTTTATCTTTTTTTTCGACTCAAATGCGCATTTTTGTGCGACATATGCTCGCACATGTGCCGGATGACATTGACACATGTATATTTCGACTCTCCGAGTCTCGAGGTTTCATTTGAGATACTACAAGATTATCTTTTGCGATGTTCGTTTTTTATCATTTTTGGGGTGCTTTCTCCCGGTGATCCATCTATGAATATGCTCTAAAAAGCAAGTTAGCGCCAGATAGTCCAAGTGGTGTAGTATACGACTGACTATGTCGACTTATATAACAAGTGTCTTCGGACATAAAAATTTATAGCGAAATAGTAGTTTTTCTATCGGTTGTCATGCATTTTTTCATTAATTTTTTTTGATTTTTGGTGTAGTAGTGCTTTCAGTAAAAGCCCCATAACTCCATCAAAATAAAAGCTTTTTCGGTTGGGTTTGCTTTGTTTTGATCAGAAATGATTGCTCGTCTCTATCTAACTGCAAAATCAAACGTCAAGCATCTTTTTCGTCTCCTGATTGAGCACATTGTTGGAAACAGGGAAGTTGTCAACTTTTGATGTATTTTTGTTACCTCGTTCTGGAGCACACCATCTGCTCTAAAAAAGTTCTTTTACAGACCACGAGAAAGAGCACATTTGAAAGTACCAAACATAAACTCAGTTCTCACTTTTGCTACACTTTTAGCTGAAATAGTAGCAGAAGAAAAAGTTCAAGTAGAAAAAAATGTTGAGGTTAGGAAGTTTTCATTTTTTTCGACTTTCATTCAATTGGCTTAGTTTTCTTGATTGAAGTTCTAAAATTATAGTTTAGGTATAATCTTGTAGAGAATTTCGCAGCGCATCTTTTAAAAAAGACATCTAGTCTCGGAAACAAATTCAAACCAAGTTATAAGCAAAATACTGAGAGGTCCATTCTTTATAGCCCACCCGTTACATTTATCAATGACTTACCTTTGGATAACTTACACTCGCTATAATCTATCTTATGATGATACTTGATTTTATAGCCAGTTTTATAGGTAGTTGGTATCTACTCTTTATTCGTTTTTGTTAATTTTGTTTTTGACTTTGTACATATATATATGTGCGTGTGATCAAAGGTGATAATGAATAGCTGATTTTTTATTTTTTATATCCCGTTTGCGTATTTTCTTGCGTTGATGACAAAGAAGTTAGCTTTATTTTATATGAAAGTTTGTGAACTTTACAGAATAAATTCCTAGAAAATAATAAAAAAGGATAGCTGTGAAGAGAAGGATATTGCATTAATCTGAATATAGCCTGAAAAGACTTAGAAGTTTTATCCAGAGAAACTAATTATGCTACTAGATGGTATATTCAGTGTGACACGAAATCACTTTTTCTTCCTGCTGGGTACATATCCTATCGTCCACCAGAACTAAATTTTTACTTTTGGATACTTCATCTACTATTTCTTACTAGATCGTAGTTCACCAGCAAAGATCTAACAAATTATATTTTAAATAATCAAAAGTGTGCCGAATGTTAAAAGCACTCGTTTCATTCTATTAGTCTAGTTTCTAAAACGTGTATTTATAAAATAACGTGAAATACAAGTTCAGATGCTATCTGTTTTGGAATATGTGTACCTAAAATCTTCGCTATTTGATTCGATACTATAACCCCCAGGGTGTCCTCTCGATTCGTCCTTAATTGGCTTTGTAAAATCAAACAACATCAAAGGTGAGCGAACAATTAGGGACAAATCGAGAGAAACTAACCCCAATTTGATTCTTGGCAATTTTATTTGTTGAGAACGATAAGTACGTATATCTCTTTTTCATATATATACGTTCTATTCTTTCTCGTAACAGGGACGGCTATCCGATTAAGAATCTTAGCGTTTAAAGCGCTTTGGCTTTAACTGTACCTGACAATAAGAAAACAGAAATTCAATTTATTCAAAGTTTCTTCTTCTTTCAAGTTCTCTTCTCTCTAGTTACGGTTTCTCTACTTCTAGCAAAAATCACGTAATACCATAAATTTGAGAGATTTATTAGATTGTTGAAGGAGTGATAAAACAGATTCATCTAGATGGATTGACTTTACACTATATATATATATATATTCTGCCACGTAAGGAAAATTTCACGGGCTTCAGGATAATATTTACGATAGTGTTAAGAAAATGTAAAACAAAGAAGAGCTCGAGAAATCGAGCATGGGACTATATGGTTTGCGAACTTTTCTAACCGAAATTTTCTAAAAACCAAAGAGTTGATTTTTCAGAAGCCCTATTATCAAGTTTTCTCATGAAACGGCGATATGCACCTCATCCGATAGAAAAATCTTCGGATTATTCAAAACAGTATTCATATTGGTTCCCGCTTTTATTAAAAAGTCAAAAACAAAGCAGTTCCTGTGATTATGACACACTGCCTAGACTGTACTGTAGATTGTACTGCTTAGACAACATCCAAAAGCTTCTTCCCATATCTTTAATGACTGGCACCATC